CCGCTAACACACGGTAATGGTCATACAAATTACATTATTGCAATGCACGTTTTAAATAATAATGCTAATTAAAAAAAAAAAAAAAAAAAAAAAAGTCGGGAGCCGAGCGTGGCTCGGCCACCCGTGAAACGTCAACACGTAAAACAGAATAACGTTAAATACAAATTAATTACAAAACTTAATATTACTCATAGATGTGAAACACGCGTTTAGTACTATGCCCTCTGCGGTGAAGGGAATGCCACTGGTTGGTAATACGTAAAAAATGTACAGAAATTAATGAATCAAACCCGATACGAAAGAAAGATGCTCAATCGTCCGACGACGAGTCAGTCTCCTCACCGTCGTCAACCTCTTGCGCATAGACGAACTGATTGTAAATGTATGGGTTTATATAGGCCTGTTTACTGGGCGAGTAGTTCACGACAGCAATGCCGTTAGGATCAGACTTATAGTTGTACAAGTGCGGATAGAGACCTGCCGGCGCAGCGATACCGATATTTACAAATTTCTGATAATTCTCGGCCTGCGGACAATACGGAATACCAACGTCCTGATTCTCCAAACTGATTCTCTCCTCCGAATTTTGATCGGCGTCGTCGTCTCGCTGCGAGACGTGCGAAACCTCGGTGATCCGATCGGTCTCGCCGCAGTGCTTCGAATCGAATTTCGTTTGAGGCAACACCTCGGCGTAATGCGCACGATCTGGCACTAACGCTTGCTGTCGGTAAACGTTCGTATTGGGAACACAATGTTGACTGTGATAGAGGATCGGCTGGTAATGACCGTGACCTACAACCGGCAACGTGTTAACGTCGACCTCTGTGTAAGAGACGTCTGTCATTTCTTTAGTGACGTTGCCTGGGTGACGATCTTCGACAGGAGAACGGTCCATTGTGTCTGAATATATGGAATGATTTGGTGATGATGTATCCATATATTCCTGTGAGTCAGCGTATGTGTTTTCAGGGTGTGTCGTATCGGCTGGCTGGTGCATGTCTGTTAGAGTTAGATGACGGTTGACCTGCTCTACATGGCTACCAACCTGGATCCCAGTAGTCACCGTCGACTCCACGTACGTCTTTCCGTGAAGACCCGGCTGACTAAGCGTAATTTCTTTCGTCGTGATACCCTGAATCCTCCAATCTTCCGAGGCCACCGGCACGTCGCCCGAATCCGGTTCGCTGCTCGACACGCAATGAACCATCGGCTGCAAAACGTAAATTAATATAAATTAACGCGTAACCGATTTACCACGCGTAAACCAACTCTCTCTCTCTCTCTCTCTCT